GTTACCTCCTTTACTGTTATTTACTTAATATTTTTCTGTTTAAAGGAAAATGTTTCTGTTTAGAGGAAATTTTGCAATGCGACCCTAAAATGAAATACCAGTATTGCTTGCTGTAATGATAATGTTAGCAGATAGAGAGATTCCTGAATTAAAAAGCCCACCAAAAATGTGGGTCCTTGCCTGCCAGTTGAGAAGGAATTCTAAGCAGAGGCAGAGAGACAAAGTGGAAGACGGCTTTAATTGCTCAAAAGAGAGAAGGGGAAGTGAAAATGCTTGAGAGGGGAGCTGCCAGCCAAGTGGCTGGTGGAGACAGCTCCACCCCCCATCAGGCACAGGGTCTTTGATTGGAGGGTTCTGCCATCATTATCTTCATTCCGGAGGCAATCACCTTCTTCCTATTATGGGCTTTTTTCTCCTCTAGGGAGCTCAGCCCTAGAACAGAAGCTTCGCAGGAAAGAGAACAAAGAAAGAGATACTGGGTTCTGTCCTTGGGGTTAAGGCAGCAGCTGTGGGACATAAGATGTTCTGTTGTATGGCTGTGTCCTTGGAATCAAGGAGCCATCTGCGGGATCACAGAAGCATCCTTTTTTCAACAGCCTGGCACGTTCTTCCCTTTGTTGATAATCAGCCAGGGTGAGCAAGCCTGCCTAATCTCCTCTCTCAATAAGATAGTGATAAAAAAAAAATAAATCCTATGAAAATGCTATGAAGTTCAGTACCGCTGCCTACTCAAGTGTCCATGTCTGTTCTCTCTTTGTTAAGATGGAGAAATAGCTGGTATTGGTGGGGTGGGAAAGAGTCCAGTCCTAACCAGAGCCAACCGGAGTCCTAATTTTGGGAGGATTGAAAGAAAATTGAAAAGGAAATAACTTCCTCACCCTGAGATTGGATGTTATTTTAACATCGTCTATGAATAACCTAAAACCACCTCCAGTGCCCCTAGTGAGACACAGTCTAGCTTAGAGTTGAGGGCATGAGTGAAGGAGGGACAGTGCTTTGGGCCAGTGGTACCCGCAGTGTCTGCAGGATAAAGGTGAGGTTTGCCTTCCTACAGATCCCACAAATTCTGAAAGGCTGACTCCTCCCACCCCTAACAGAGTGAGGGGAACACAACAGAGCCTTAGCAAAAGTCTTAAATCAGGTCTCTCTGACATCCTAACATCTCTTGACTCTGTTTCATAAAAAGCTAGAAATTAAGTTTATGGTGATATTTCATATCTTGTAATATCACACCCCCCCCAAAAGGAATGCTGATAGGAAACTCTAAAAACTATAAAACATAACAAAAACCAGGGGATGAACAGATCCCATGGGATGCACAAGAAGGCCATGTGGATGAGTTTAAATCGTCTCGAAGGGAAATGATTCATCTCTTTTGGAGCCGGCATCCACCCAGTCACTGAAGAAGCTGCCGCGTGTCTGCGAGGCCCTCACACAGTTGTGTGGTCGGCGGGGCCGGCTTCATTCGCCCCATGTTTCTTGCTCAGGTGCGCTTTCTCTTTCTGTTTCTCACAACACCCCTGCCCATCACAGATGTACAGCATCTGAGGAAGAACAGCCCAGAAAGCGTGCTGTTGCGCTGCCAGTGTAATTGCTGCCTCCTCCTTGAAAGTGCTGTCATGAGCACTTCATTTTAAGGTTGTACCAGGAATTGAATCAGTATTCTAAGTGGGCTATTTTCTGTAACCCATGTCACTCGGCGTAGAAGACATTCAAGTACTAATGACAGCTTGAGAATTTAATTTCAGAAGTGACTGCACTGCATTTCTGAAATTTGCATGCTTTAGAGCAAATTTCCCCCAGATTACGCCTCGGCCAAGACATTTCCACAAAGAAAGTCGTTTCTTACAGGGAATTGTATTTTAATATTTGGTTTCAGTATGAAATCAGTCCAATCAATTTTACAGATTAATGTAATTTACTTTTAATGAGCTCAAATGTACTAAATGATAGCTTTACTATCGTTTGTTAGATGCTCTTAAGAAGTATAGATTTTTTTATTCCAGACCAGCGTTTTCAGAACTTGCTGGCACTTTAACTGACACTGGCAAGGCTTTGACATCAGTTCATGGCATTTTAAAAAAATCCTTATTATCGGCTCAGTCACTAATGACACACGATCTTAAAGTAGTCTCTAATAGCCATTTAATTTTTTAAAAAAACAAAACAAAACAAAAAACCCCTCACTGTGCCATTTTTAGAAGGAGTCCCTGAATAGAAATGACAAAAATCCAAATGAGTGAAAAAGCAACCTAATATAGTCTATTTTACAGAGAGAAATAGAGACTATGAAACATTTGACTTCTCTGTTTTTCATATGAAACATAAGTGCATTCATTGACAAAGCCATAACTTCTCTAAGCCTCAGTTTTCTCATCTGTGAAGTGGGGATGATCCTAGTTAGCACAGAGGGTTGTTAGGAAACAATGAAATACTGCGTAAAAAGTACTAAATATAGTACCTCATACATAATACCAACTTGGTTTATAATAGATGCCCTTAATATTATTGTTATCACATGGCCCAGCGTGGGAACCATGTGGACCTGATGAACCAAGAGCGTCCTTGGCGTCCCTGGCCCCGGGGAATGGGACTCAGCCGAGAATCTTTGGAGCCCAGCAACTGGACTTGGAACGTGGTCCAGATCTGCAGTTATTGGTTCTGCACTCTTGGGCGTCAGAATCCTCGTTTTTGTGACCCAGCCACCTTTCAGAAAGGAAACAACAGTTGAAACGTTAGGGATGTTCCCCAACAGTGAGAAGACACAGACGACGGGGGTCGGGGAGCTAAAGAGGAGAGTGAGCTGGGGAAAGAGCCACCAGAAAAGTGCGGTCTCCCCAACCTGTCCCCCAGGGCTGTTCTTGCAGCCCTGCCCCAGCCTCTGCCCAGTTAGCGGACATTTCCACCTACAGCCCACGGTTCCTCTGGTCCCCAGTCCTCCACCAGAACCCCCCTGCTGGGGCTCCCCCTGGCCATCTGCCTGTGTCTGTTATCCCTCATTTCAGGGGGAGACAGATAGAAGAGGTCAGCTCTTTAAGAAGTGGGGCCCCATATTAAATTGGGGACCCTCGGATAAATACAGCTTTGAAACTGTTCGTTTTCTGCCATGTGACAGGGAAGCATGTCCTACTTAAAATTTCAGGGACCACACAAAATGCAACCAGTCAGAAGCCCCCTACCCAAACCTCTAGTGGAGGAAACGGAACCAAAACTAATTCTCTGTAGATTTTCCAGTGGCGAGCAAAATCAGGACGATGCTGGTGACAAACAAGGCGCGTAATCCACATCCAGGGCTTAACTCTGCCTCAGCCCCACGGCCAAAGGAAGAGTCCCCGCCTTTGCCCAGGGAGTTTGCAGGGCCCTCAGGGGCTAACGAGACCACTGCTCAGAGCAATTGCTATTCTCCTCCGGGATTACCTTTCTAATACAGTTCCCACCCCAAACCCTGCAGCTTAAATAGCTCTGAGTTTCCTACTGACATACAAACATCTTAACCCAGCATTCAAGGCCCTTCCCAGTCTGGCCTCGAGCACCGAGCCCATCCCAACGCCCCCAGGTCCCAGAACAGAAACCTCATAGCCGACTCAGCCTGGAGTTCTCTTTCCTTTCATCCTTGAAACCTAGTTCTATGAAAGATTACAAGCAGTGGTGAGGATGTGGAGGAATTGGTGGGAATGCGGAATGGTACAGCCACTGTGGAAAATGGTACGGAGGTTCCTCAGACAATTAAAGATGGAACCACCATATGATCTGGCGATCTCACTTCTGGGTATACACGCCAAAGAACTGAAGTCAGGATCTCAAAGAGGTATCTGCACTCCCATGTTGAAGCAGCGTTATTTACAATAGCAAAAACATGGAATCGACCTGCATGTTCACTGACAGACGAATGGAGAAAGAAACTGTGATAGACACATACAATGGAATATCATTCAGCCTTAAAAAAAGAAGGAAGTCCTGCCATTTGCTACATGGATGAACTTGGAGGACATTATGCTACATGAAATAAACCAGACCCAGAAGAATAAATACTCCATGATATCAGGAACCTAAAATAGTCAAGTTCACAGAAGCTGAGAGTTGAACAGTGGTTTCCAGCACGGGGCGAGGGGAAATCGGGAGGTGCTGGTCAAACGTACGTACTTTCTCTGATGCAAGAGGAATGAACCCCAGGGTGCCTATAGTTAACAATACTGTGTTTTATGTTTATATATTTGTTAGGAGGGTAAATCGTAGATTAAGTGTTCTTATCACCAAAAAAAAAAAAAAACCCTAATTCCATTGTTACCTCTGCTGAAGGACTTCCCAGAACCCAGATTCACCCCTGATTTGAATGTTAGTTTAGGAAGAAGATGTTGCACTTACACACTTGGGGGAGGTGGTGATTCTTAAATGTGCCTTCATGTTTGTGGTGGAGTTGGGAGATTTTACTGACTTCCAAAAAAGCCCATCAGATACTAGTTGGGATTCTGTAAACCTCAGAATTTCCAGGGGATTGGCTTCTAAAGAAAGCAAATGCCCAATTATAGGCTCTGGGAACTCTTTTTCTTTTCTTTACTAAAAATAAAGAATTCTAAAGAAGAAAATAAAAGGCACAAAATTAAACCAGAGTCTATCAGGAGGGCTGGGAGGGCTGTTGAGTATATACAAGAGGGTCATTAAAGCATCTGAAAAGAGGAGAAAAATCAGTCAGAACCAAGGGAGTGTTGTCAGTTTCAGCAATAGCTCGAGTATCTGGGGGGTAATTATGAATGTATTTTATTTTAGCAAATACAGTCTTTCCCCACCGCGTTCTCTGATAACACAGAAGTTTCTTTTCAAGTGGAGTCTCCAGCCCTGGGCCTTAGAAAGTCATTAATATTTCATCTACAAGAACAGAGCATCTTACACTGAAACCTAAGAATAGAATTTGCAGACGAGCATTCCAAGATGAGTATATGTTACAGCTGGAATAGAGTGGGTAGGATACAATCTTTACTTTCTCTTTGTTTTTCTTTCAGAAACGGGGAAGATTGACCAAGAGATTCACAAGTACAACACCCCGGGATTCACTGGGTGCCTCTCCAGAGTACAGTTCAACCAGGTTGCCCCACTCAAGGCGGCCTTGAGACAAACAAACGCCTCTGCCCACGTGCACGTTCAGGGCGAGCTGGTGGAATCCAACTGCGGGGCCTCCCCGCTCACCCTCTCCCCCATGTCGTCCGCCACCGACCCCTGGCACTTAGACCACTTGGATTCAGGTAAAGTCTAAAGTGGTCTCCAACAGATCGCTTTATTTATTTCTTTAAGCCTCTGTTTTCTCATCTGTAAAATGGGGTTAGTAACAGAACCTCACTGGTGAAGCAGTTGGAGGATTAAGGGAGCGAAGGAATGTGCGAGCAGAGAGTTCTTAGCACATCAAGTGCTCAGATGGCGCGGCCGTGTTCTTGCTCAGGGCCAGAAGTAAGTAAGTCAAAGGGAAGAAACAGGAATTACTGACTCTTCTTCATTTAAGTGAAACAATGAGATGTCTAAACCGATGTCTGTGACATGACTGTCAGGTGATCCTATCAAGTCACCTCCTCACTTCTGCCCTTGTGACTCTCACTGCCTGGCAGCCCCCCCATTGAAGTTCTACTACCAAAGATTTACCTAAGCAAGACTGAGATTCACCTCTTGACACTATATTTATACAAATAATCCTGTAGCCTTTCAGATTTTAGGGGTGCATTTAGGCTTAGCTCGGTGGATGCAGCCCCACTTCTGCAGGTGATAAGACTTGTTTGAAAAAACAGGGTGAACATGAAAGGATGCAGTTGTTGGCTGCTAAGTTAATTGGATGCAAATTCAACATCCACGTAACCCCAAGTGATGGGGAACCCAAAGGTCCTCTTCCTCACTCTACCAGACTGACCTCGGGATACCTAGGTAGCCTTTCCAAGCCTCAGCTTTTTCCCGCATAAGGTATCAAGTGGGAGACGTGATCTCTAGGAGACGTCCAATCTGACATTCGATGGGTCTCCAAAGCAGTGTCCGGCATTGCTGATGCTGAGGACAGGAAGAAGCCAAGGTGGGGGGCAAGGTGACGTGAGGCCTGGGTTCCAGTAGCATCCCTGCCTCTCACCGGCAGGTTTCTTAACCTCATTCTTCAGTTTCCCCATGTCTGAAATGGAGATAAGACCTAACTCAGAGAATTCTAGGTGAGATGATGGATTTAAAGCACTTAGCACCATTATAGACATGGAGCAAGCTTTACAAAACTTCAGCTGCAATAATATTTACTAGGTGGTTATTGTCATATTAGACACAATTTGCTGTGATGTTCGTATGTCCAGGAAAGGCTCTTAACCACCCTCCACCCTAACTTCTAATTTGTAACAGTTCATCATGTAGACATCATGTGTTGGATTGCTTTAGACGGATTCCAGCCCCGAACGTGGTGTTTATCAGCTTCTATGTAGCCGTTGTCACCCTGAATCCTTGCCAGGACTTGTGCAGCTTCGAAAGAAGCCAGAATTGCCCCGTTGTCAGAATAACCAATTTACAGACTGAACAATCCTCTTTGTTCCTCATGCATGAGTTCCTATAACATGATGAGGGGTGCTGTGTGCCAAGGGTACTTATTAAGAATTCTCTTTTATGACTGTTGTTAGGATTACACAGCGGGCTGGTTTTTCCTCCTGGGCTGGCTTGAACAAAGGAGGGCAGTCCTGATGCTGCAAGAAGAAAAGTAGCAGTGAGGATATGAGATGAGGAAAGACATTGTCAGGGCTGCAGAGGAACAGAGATTTCTCAGATAAATTCCTCCAGACTCCGTAGTGGGCGGCGACGACACATCGTCTTTGAAATGCGCAGGTTCTTGTGCTGATACGTGTGTGGTCTAAGTTGGCTGCCAAGAAACCAGTTTCAGAAACATCTAGGTGTTCCTTTGGGCCAACATAAGTCCATATTTATTTTGCCTTAATTAGCAAATTATTTGTTTTATGGTCTGTGAGATACGGTTGTAAGGGCCAAAGTTTGAGTTCATTTATTTTTTAGAAATCATGCTACATTATGCATGACAATTTCATTCTTCTGATTGCTGTAATAATGTATGTAGGGAACTTTTCTGTTATTATTCAATGTTCAAATCAAAAGTCTACAACCCAGGTATTACGGTAGGCCTGTGGTATATAATATAGGGTCCATTTGCAGAAAATTTCCACTTGTACTTGGGCAGAAAGTTCTTACCTGGTGTCGACCAGTTGCTGTATCAATCTCATTATCATAATTTATCCCATAATTGGAATTCCAAGTTAATTTTCATAATGGGGAAATGCTCATAAGGAAATGTGTGTATCTGTCTCTATTCTATTAAAAGAAGAGAAAACAGCTTATGAACTATGAGACAGAAGCCTTGTTTAGATAACATGATTTGATTTTTTTTTTCTTTTAGGTGAATGGGAACATGAGAGAGAATGGGGATTGGGGTCTGGACAGGGGACAGAGAAAGAAATAGACACAGAGAAGGCTACTTAATATCAGCCTTGAGTGGCTTAGTGTCCGGGAAGAAAAACTTTTCCTCCACGCTCTTAGGTTCATATACTGGGGCCCTGCAAATTAAACTGATAAAAGGCAGATTAACAGGAAAAAGAAGTTTATTCGTATGCGTAAGGAAGCTTACCAAAAAAATGGCTCAACAGATAATTAAAGTTAGAGGCTGATCTATCTTAGTAGAGAAAAAGAGAGGAGAAAAAGGTCTTGATGGGAAGAACAAATGGGTTTCTAAAGGAAAAAACAGAAGATAAGAAAGTTTGTGATAATGTTTGTTTATGCAGGTGTGAATGGTCTTTCTGTCTTCTTCTAGGCCATAAAACTCCCTGGGGCGGGGATTTAGGGTAGGTTTGCTCTTGGCTTCCTTCCTGGGACTAAAAGCCTCCCAGAAGGGGGAATTTACGACCTCATTTCTCAAAAGCTTCTACTTGTAGTCAGATAAGGGAAGTTCCAAAAAGATTTCTTTCTGCATCTGTGAATCCTAAATGTGCCCAGCATAAAAGAAACTTCATACCAACTCTAGGGTTCCTAGCAGGTCCCCACATCAGGAACCACACCCTAGTTCTTAGCCTATGTTCCATCATTCTGAATTCCAATTTGGAGGGGGGGGGGTTGCTTTTTTTAGACCATCTTTCTTACCCGAATAGAATAAGGATCCTCACGATCAGATATTCAGAAACAAAACAACAGTGTCTTCACAAAAAATGCCATTTCTGGCTAGAAGCCATGTGTTAGTGGGGTCTGTGTGGGTGTCAGACAGGAGGATAAAGGTGAGAGCTGACTAGTCCTGGTTGGAACAGGGGGCATTTGGAAGGAGAAATGTTGCATATGGTGCCTGGGAAAGTGTAGTCCTTGCCCAGCAGCATGAGTGCTGCCTGGAAGCTTGTTAGAAAAGCAGCTATCAGGCTCCTACCCCAGACCCACTGAATCGACATCGACATTTTAGCAAGATTCCCCAGTGACGTCTGATGTGCACATTGAAGTTTGAAAGCCCTCATCTCGATCTCAGAAGCACTTTCAAATTACCTAGGGAGCTTTTAAAAGCCCGCTCTCCAGGCTGCACCCCTGACCAATTAAGTCAGACACTAGGGGTGAGATGAAGATGTCCGCAGAGGTAAAATCTTCCCCCCAGCGATTCTGATGTGTAGCCACCCATGAGAATCACTCACCATATAAAACCGAAGTTTAATAGTGGCCCCTTGGTGAACCCTTTGAGGTAAGGTTACCAAAAGAAAAGTAAGTAACGCAGAAAACAGTTTATGAAAAACAATGACGGCTTTAGGTGGTAAAATTGCAAATTAAAAGGCTGTAGCACAAGCTTGCAGAAGGCTGGGCTCCCCTGACCATTTCATCAGGAAGCTCACCAGGACAGGGGAAGTTTTTTTTACCTAAACTTGAGGAGAGCTGGTCTGCCTCCTTGCAACTGGAAAAAAGCACACTTGAAACAAATGAACGAGCAAGAAATCCGCACGTGGGGCCAGCCTCAGCACCTCCAGTGAGAGCAATTGTTACACCCAGGGCGGAGTTTCCGTTTGAGGAATGTGTCAAATGACTATTCAGGGTTTTTTGGGTTTTTTTTTATCAGCTGCAAGCTTAATTTGAAAGGATATCAGGAGGAAAGTGCTGTTTAAAATGAAGTGTGTGCATTTATTTTAAAATACAGCATGCTCCCTGCTGGGAAGACAGGGAGTCTGTGGTTTTAGTACTAAAGGGATCTTAACCATCAGCTAAGGGCTACTCATTTCATATTCACACTGGAGTGTTTGCTTCGCAGAGACCTGGAAATCAGAATTCCAGACATCCACTCTTAGGTCTTGTGTTCTTTCTGCTCCTTTATGATTCTTTCTTATATCTTAGATGATATCTCATGATAAAGATGGAAAATGTATCCCAGGGTATGCTAGATTCATGTGATAAGACTCTTTTTTTCTCTCCTGGACCACTACTGACTGAGCTGCTTGCTCATTGCCTCACTAAAGCCCTCTGGGCTCTGTCACTGCTTTCCAAAGTGAGGGACATTTATGGTTGGTCGTGCTGTGCACTGCACAACTCCAAGGGATGCCATTTGCATTGCCATCTATGGGTCCTGGAGCAGCACACCATGGTGGCCTTGATAGGGAGTCACCAGATCATTATGGGAAGATAACAGACGTGGCATTATATGGCATAATATAAAGTTATTTCCTGTTCATTTCCCTTTCAGTCCTTCTAATTTTGTCAGAGAGAAAGTCTTCATTTGGACACCTTTCTCCCCCTTGCTAGTCTCCCTTTAATAGAGAGGTGGGGGGAGAGAGAGAGGGAGAGGGGGAGAGAGAGAGCGAGAGCGCGAGCGCTTCTGTGTAGAGCTTTGACAAGCAACAGAAACGCTCGCTAGCAGCGGAGGGCATAGCTCAAGTGGTAGGGCGCACGCTTAGTATACATGAGGTCCTGGGTTCAATCCCTAGTACCTCCTCTCAAAAAAAAAAAGTAAATAAGTAAACCTGGTTACCTCCCCCCCAAATATAGAGTGACTCTGTAGGGTGATAAAGTTTTATCAGGGCATTTGTTTAAATAAAAAATCAGGTCAATTGAGTGAAAAAAGTAGATAATAATTAGGTTTTACATGGCTATGGCAAAAAATATGATGGCAGTTCCCACGTGATTGGAGTTTGGCGAACACTGGACAACATCACAAGATCATCACAAATACTAGGCAGGCCCTGGTATGGAGCTGTAAGTGCATTTTTTA